CCCCCAGTCAGGGCCCAGGGACATGAGACCCCCAGTCAGGGCCCAGGGACATGAAACCCCCAAGTCAGGGCCCAAGGACATGAGACCCCCCAGTCAGGGCTCAGGGACATGAGACACCCCAGTCAGGCCCAGGGACATGAGACCCCCCCCCAGTCAGGGCTCAGGGACATGAGACCCCTCCGTCAGTGCCCAGGGACATGAGACCCCCCGAGTCAGGGCTCAGGGATATAAGACCCCCCCCCAGTCAGGGCCCAAGGACCTAACACCCCTGACTATGGGCCCACTAGGGGCTGGGCCGTGGTGGGCAGGGCCTCTGCAGCCCCAGCACGACCTGTGCTGTGCACCTCACCGCCAGGTGGCAAGAATGCAGGTGTTTCCGAGGTCTCACGACCAGCTCACAGCTCTGGGGATGCCTCCCAGGGGAGTGGAGGGCGAGCCGACGCCACCCCAACGTTTGCCTGTACGTGTGGGCAGACATATTTGAGTACACATGTGCCCATACATATGAGTTCAGGCGTGCATACGTGTTTGAGCACATGTATTTCCATATGTGTGAGTACATGTGTGCATGTCTTTGTGTGCCTGCATATGTGTGTGCTCATACAAGTGAGTACATGTGAGCATACATCCATGTGAGCATGTGGGTGAGTACATGTGCCCATACACATGCATACGTGTATGTGTGTTTGTGCCTGTGTACGCCCACACACGTGCGTGCACGTGTCCATGAGTACATGTACGTGTTTGTACCTGTGTCCATACGTGTGTGCGCACGTGACTGTCTATATGCATATGAATGTCTGTTCGCCCGTGTCCATACATGTGTGTATGTGTGTATGAGTACATGTGTGTCTGTGTGTGTCCATATATGTGTGTACGTGTCTATGAGTACAGGTATGTACGTCTGTATGTCCGTGTGTGTCTGTATGAGTACGTGTCTGTGACTGTGTGTCCATACATGTGCGTGTGTCTGCATGAGTACACGTGTGTGTCTGTGACTGTGTGTCCATATGTGTGTGTACATGTATGTGCCCCTATATGTGGGGGGCTGGTTTTCTTTTACCGGTTACTGAACGGTCCCCAGTTTGAATCATTCTCAAACAAAGACCTAAAGAAGTTCCCTGCTAACTTCTGGGGGGACTGAGCAGCTCGGCCGGGGCCTCCGGGCCTCTCCCAGGGCCGTCAACGTGGCATCGTCCTCATGTGCAAGGCAACAACTGTGGCTGCGAAGAGGTTTGCTGGAACTTTCCAATTAACGAGCACATTGCAAATGCATCTGTGAGCGCTCCACAGGCCTCGGAGTCGGTCATCAGAGATAGAACAGGCTAGTGGGGGACGAGCAGGGCCGGAGGGCAGGTGGGGGGC